AAAATTATATATATTTACAATATATTTGGGATCCTGATTCAGAGACTGTGGTAACACGATTTGCTCAAAAATCCAATTAATTTTTTTGCGTTTCCTAAACCCCAACTTTAAACCTAAAAACAAGCTAAATTACAAAGTCGGGCTGCGATCAAATAAATATGGAAATAAAACATTGACTTTGGGGGTAGGATAAGCTGTCCTAAGCTTCTTATGCAGACGAGTGGAGACTGAGGCTTCTCCCGGTTGTTACGTGTTTCATATTGCTCTCACGCGTACGCTTTAATCCTGATCTTTTGTCACCGTTTTTGCCTTGATATGATGGGTTATGTTCTTGATTTATTGCTCGCTTTCTTGGGCTTTTTAATATTTCACTGGAAATTTACGGTGATTTATTGTGGTTCCTCGCCATAACGCTGTCAGTTTAAGAAAGAGCAAGGGGCAACTGCAATTTATTTTCCTAATTTCTCTAATTCCGTCAAATCATTTCTAAGAAATGGAATGGAACGTCTTAGGAGCACCAGCTAAAACACTGATATTTTCTACTGAAAAAGTGTCTCTTGAACTATGAGCCATTTATATAAAAAAAGTTACGGAGAAAATTCGCTATCAGTTGACAATTGGTGAATATAGGCAAACTATTCTTTTTCAACTAAATCAAAAAGTATGTGAACTAATATAATTTTCCTTGATTAATCGAAATAGTAAACAAACGAGTATTTCGATTGTCTCCTGTTCTTTTACCTAAAATCAATGACTAAAATGTCTTTTCATAATAGAGTATCAATATAGCCCCGTGTTCGATGTTAAAATAAAAAAACTGGAATCTTTCTGATATTATCCAGATAAGACTTGGAATAGAGTTCTTTAGGGGTAAAGTGCAAATTGGATTTTCAATACAAGCTACGAAATGATAATTCCCACAACAAATTTCTGCTCTTGTGCACTCGATAGAAAATGAAACGTTCTGAGCTAAATGGGTGTTTCCAAAGTTTGAGCAAATTTGTTCCCTTTAACAAGTTTTCGAAAAAAAATCTTAACTTCTTCAATGTGAAAGCAATGAAATTGAGGTGAGGACTGAATTATTTATTATGTGCCGATGTGTTTGGACAATTTTCCGTACATACAAATATTTCAGAAACGCATTTAAATAGTTCTATTGACTTCGAATGGGCTTTTAGAACCACCTATTTAGATTCGAATGCATGATTATTTCATTCCCGGCTTATTGTAATTAATTATCTATTTGCGTTTCATTTTGATAAATAAAAACATCTAAGAAGTTTTTGTATGTTTTGTTAACTTAGAAAAAATTAGAGCAACAAAATTATGTTAAAATTGAAACGCTCAGTTCATTATTTCTGCAATAAAGCTCTTTTAATTTTTCTTCTGCATTTTTTAAATCAGTCGATCATTAAATAGATGTTTTAAATCTACAAAGCAAAAGTTAAAAATTAAATAGTTCTGCCTCGACTGGAGAGTGGAGAGTTTTAGAGCATTGTTGAAATTTTGTATTTATTTTGCAGGTATTTGAATTAACTAGATTTTTTTCGTCGCATTATTTTTCTATTTGTTTAGTTAATTTGTTATTGTATTTATGATGGAATAAAATAGATCATAGATTAAATTTAAACTTCTGTAAGTGCTGTTATACAGGGTGGTACTTAACGTTAAGGCGTGACTTTAAGGGCACATCCCCACGTTAAAATAAAGGCTAAAAATGCAACGTGAAAGCAAAACATTGTTTTTTATTGATATCAAACACCCACTTGACAATTTTTGTCACATTTGGCGCCGATTTTCATTGCAATAACGCGCTAAGTGCGTTTAACTTGAAAGGAATTGTGAGCTTCTACATCTTATCCGGGATGCAGTATTTTGAACAAAATTGATATAAATAAGTACGCAAATAATTTTTTGAACAATTTTGTACTTCTGCGTATTAAACAGCTAACAATACAACTCTTTTGTTTCTTTCGATGTTTTTCTATCCTACTTTGTTTTTGAGACGGAAAACGGTGGGCAAAAATGACCTGTTTTGTATGAGCGTTTGTCAACATTTACCTCGGAAGTCAATAAAAACCACTCTTTATAGAGGCCTTCAATTCGCTGTATTTTCCTTATGCAATCGATTTTGAGTTTAACTAAATTATCAGGTGATTGAATGAATATACAGTTTCCAGAAACGACCCGATAACTATTAACAAATTTTAAGTCGACAGATTATCATTGAAAACACTCCCAGAAAAGTACAATAAAGTATGGCAAACGCCCAAAAGAATATCATTAATTGATCAAATAGCAACTTGRCTTAAAGATAGCAATRTTGGAAATGTTCTTCTTATATAATGCATAGTTTGTTTCGTATTTTCAATCCTGATTCAGTGCRAATGGCGGCAGCAGAAGCATTTCTATTGCAACCGAAAGAAAATTAATAACTCCGCCTGAGGGGAGTCTGGGGTGACATAGAACTTAAAATAATGCYCCTATTCCACCTAACAACGAAGCCATATTTTTTCGTTAATGGAACAGGCGCAATATGTCACCGGATTGTCGAGGCTATTTCGAAAAGCTCTCAGTGTGCATGGCCTGACATACTAACACAAAATGTGATCAGGATATGACAATTCATCAGTTATTTTTTCCCCTATTTATTTTGATAAATTAGTGGGATTTTATACACTTTTTTGAGGTGCTACGGGGAAAGAGAACCCGAGAAAATGGGCATGAAATATGGACGAAAGACAGCAACTAAAAACCATTTAATACCGAAGATAGAAACATTGAAAGAAGCAGTTTATGTGAAACTCAAATCATCTTCGGCTACTTTCATTTTTATTTTAACGAGAAGGTATGTTGGCTATGGCTGTTGTCGTTATCCGTTCATTGAATCAATAAATTTTCCATTAAATATTAGATAGATTCCATATTTAATCCAGTTGTTCGAGAGCAACTAATAAGAAAGAACCGAGAACGCTAATCGATATCAAATACCTTTGCCACTTTCGGTTTGTTTATTTTTCGGATAGAAAGGCGAAAACAAAACCCGCGACATTATTTGCTCGTTATACGGACCATGTGTTTGCCTTTCAATTTTTGGGCCCCAAGATTAAATATTATTTTAAATAATTAGAGTTTAGCAGCCGCTTTAACCTTTTGGGGTTGCCCGGTTGCCCCCACAAAACGGGTCAATTAGTGAATGATTAGATCTTAAGTCCACACAAAAACGTACTTAGGCATTCTTGCTTCTTCTACTGGTTCCATTAGTTAAATTATGCCATCGGAATGTTTTCGTGTGCATTCATCAGAAAAACTTTGTCGAGAATAGGCACTCAAACAGGTAACTTCTATGCATATAACGTGATTACATTTCGACTTTCTGTTTAAATTTTCATGGCAATTTTCTCTGGACTTTTATGTTTTAAAATTAGAGTTCACGATCAAAGGTTCTGCCCCAACATGAGAAGCTGCCATCCGTGCAGCCAAGATGCTTTCACTATTAAATTTCCTCCCTTTTATGAGCGCTGTAACGTTTTAATAGGAAAAATTCGAATATTTTCTGATCTACCAGAAATGTACCAATTAATTTCCCGTTTTTTATGTTCCATTAATTTGTCGTTAATGTTAATGGAAATAGTATCAGTATGTGGTTATGTTCACACAAACATAGTAACAAACATTTCAGAGTTTAGTCGATTTGCAAATTATAAGCACAAATTTATAAAAAAAGGACATACAAAAAAATTAAATTACTCCTCTAGAGAAACACAAACAGAAATGTGACACCAAAAATACCTTTTTATATGTACCATATCTTAAGTTCTCTAAGAGAAAGTTGAGAAGTTTTCAGCTGGAATTGAATGAGAAAATTGCCAACAAAAGGAATTAATATCTACAGCACTAAACCGAAAAAGAACCTGCAGAGAAAACTGAAAAGAAAAATACTGTTACTTACTGCGATACTTGATCAGTTTCAATTAATTTACATTGACTGCAAATTTATTTATTTTCTGCCAATACATTGGGTGCTAAAATATTTCCATTTTATTGCTGTAATATAATAATTCGGCTTTTTTAGTGCGTTTGAACAGCTATAGAAAGCCTATTAAATTATGCAATATTGTAACTGTATAAATTATTTTATTTGATTACCCAAACTAGGTATTAAATATGCAGCACAATGAAGCTTATTAGTGGGACATTCTGTTGCTGAAAATACAGAAAATTAATGCCCTAATTAAATTTACAAAATATATAATTGTTGTTTAACAAGTTCTGGAAGTTTTGAATCGAGAATGGAAGTTAAATAGTCTTTAAAAACTTAACCGTGCTGGTGAGAGAACCATTGATATTCATTAGAATAGCGATTACCAATTGGGTAAATTAATGAATAGTTCCAAAAACACTAAACCTGCCGAGACAATTTACTTAGTCAAGCCATTTGCTCTGTTCCAGTATTCGGACGAGGAATTTTCCGAAAAATTGAACTGGCACTTAATTGACCATGCTTTTAATTACCCGAGATAGGTAATTGGTTTTTGGGATCAAGCAACGGAGTTTATCCAGCCGCGATTTTTCACGATGCCAACGGTTATCTTTCCAGCTTTTTGGTTCATTCTTAGGACAATTCTTTTGCCAATAAATGCTACATTGCAGCTTTAAAAGCCGAGCTTTTATTGTTGAAGTGTTACAGAAATTGGCCGAATGCAGTATGAAAAATATTTGAGCAACTCACAAAATTTTGAAAACAAATGGGTTTGTAAAACGGCTTCTTATATGAATCTTCTTAACCGTTTTTTTGGTTTTCGACAAAACATTTACATATTTACATATTGCGCATTAAACGGTCAGCTTCCCCGATCCTGTTTTGTCTGGAGCAGTTCAATTTGGATATTTGATGTTTCATGAAAAAATCCACTATTTTTAATGCATAAAATAACTATTCATTATTATTAATATCTTCTATAAAAACGCAGTTTTTATTACTAGAACTTGCCTTTTAAGTAGATGATAAACCACATTCCCATGGAACCAATTCGAAGCAGTCTAACCATGTTTGTTCTATCTGGAATTGAAAATAATTGTCGCAGTAACTGAAAATTATCAACAGTCGACTAAACTAGCAATTATGTATGATTTAATTAATTAGCTTCGAGTCTACGAATGCATGTTCAGTTAAATAAACAGTACTCAGTGTCAATATTGAGCTACTGCGAGCCACTAATGATCATTTCTTGCATTAAGATTCATTTTATTCATATATTTTTTAATTTTTCAAGCAAATTTAACTAATTATATCATATGGAAAAGCACCACTTTACAACGATTTGAACATGAAATACAGGCACCAAGAAAATAATTTGTTGAACACCATTTGATTTTCCGCAAAAATTCACTTTTTCGCTAATTTTAGTACAAAATAGTGTTAAACTAATACTTAATATTACCGCAATAAATTGCATTTTTTATTCACGTAATTACAAATTTTTTGGTTGAAAGTCCATCAGCAGCGCTAAAATTAAGTTACAGCTTCGAAGTAAAATCAATGAATAAATTAAAATTTAAATAACAAAATTTGTTTTGGTTTAAAAAACAAAAAAGTTGCATTTGAAATTTCGCTTCGACCACTGATGAAATGTTCGATTGTTCATGTGATAATTTCGACTCAAAGTATAAAATTGCGCTAGCGAACGATCCATCAAAAATTAAAACTTGAACCCAATGAAACATGAGTTTCAAACTTCTGCACTTCCTCAGGAACCATTCCAGGATTCAGTGGTAGCATCGTATTCCATTTTGTCGGTGAGCTTGCAACAGGAATTTCCTGTTTTTAGGCTCAGGTTTGTAGTTACAAGGAAACTTCAGCCTCATCCATACAACAGTAATTATTTTAAAAAAATGTTGAGCTGAAAGCAAGAAATTGATCCTGTAAACTGACCAGATCTAAAGCTGGAAAATCCGATAGAGCAGCGATTTGAACTTTACGTAAGGTTTAGTTGAAGAAACGAATTTAAGAATTAAGAATTTAAGAATTTACCACATTGATTTAAGAAATTCACATGCACGATGGCATGTGAATTTCTTAAATCAATGTGGTCACAAAGTCTTCCAACTTTACCGGTGCGTTTCCCAGATTTATTATTTGGTTGTTGATCACTCGGCAACGTTTCTGTGATGGATCGCTCAGAAAACACGATTAAACGGTTCAGAATGGAATATAATCTCGCTATATAAATGCACGTGGCAGCGATGCAAAGGTTCTATAGACCAGGTAATAAGAAATATCTTATCGTGGAAAAAGAGTCTTTTGAACGCTGCAAATCTGACCTCGATTTAGCCACTGAAAAGCCAGATAAATTCAATAATCGCGCTGGTTGCAAACTAGAACATACTCCGACACGCTGAAGAAAGCAAAAAAACCGCATTAAAACTGATAAGCAGAGTCAAGAGTTAAGCGATTATCTTATAAAATTTGCAAATAAGTAATGATGCTTATTGGAATCATCTGATTTCCTCATAACACCGGGACATTTTAATTATTTCAGTTTGCTCCCATTCTCCAACAATATCATGCAAATATTTTCAGCTCATGCATAATATTTTCTATGCAAGTCTAACACGTGTACAGACCTTTACTGGTTTCCTACTTGCAATCCCCGAGCGCGAAGTTAACTTTAAACTAGTGGAAAACTCCCTGAATTGACTATTCCGTTTTAATGGTACAACTTTCCATTGGAAGGAAATCGGCGAATAAAAGATTAGCCGCTCAACATGTTACGCACATGTGAACACATTAAATCTACCCAATCAAAGCATAAACTTGTGCAAAAGTGGGCGAATTATTAATTAGAAGAGCTTAGGTAGCAAAGCTGTTGTTGCACAGTTGAAATGGAAGGAGCTTGAGTATGAATATTGTTGAAAATTAAAGAGAAAAGCCAACACAAGCTGCATGCTAGGGAAATGAATAAAACTGCAATAAATGTAAAAGAAAAGATACTTTACTAAAATTGTATTTGTTTTACTGTTTTCTTTTTCATTGGCTAAAACACTAGTTGAGAATATACTGAAAGGCTTAAACCTGTTTAAGAACGGCGAAGTTTTTTAGAGCCTCTGAAAGTTTTATTTCATCAAATATCAGTTCACCAGTTCCTGAAAAGGCCGTCACCACCTGAACAAAAGAGAAAACTTCCGGCAGCTAAATAATAAATCGGAAACATAATAAAATATGGATAAAATAAATATAACCGCCGACCTCCAAGACATGAGTCAGATGGGTCTAACTTTATTGGAAAATAAACGTCCTTGTTCGCTAAGTGGGTATAACGAGAGGTTTAATATTTAAAATGGCCAATTTAAGCCAACAATTATTTCACTGGCACTTAGCGCAGTAAAAACGTTTCAAACAGCAGCTGCGCTATTTCAAGTCCAGTTTGCTTCAAAATCGGTAGTTCGAAGAAAAACATTTTTTGAGTTGAATCACAAAACACAATCATAAAGCAAATAAAAAAATCAAGTCCTTCAAACACAGCGTTCAGCATATTTTCATTCCATATTTTTTAAAGTTTGCAAACATTTTGCCTTTCTGTTAAAACTTAATAGAATCTTATGAGTTTTTGTAAACTTTTTTAATTTCTTTATTTTTGCAATTAAAAACCCATTAGTGACTTCGTGTAGAAAAATACTCTCCTCTAAATCATGAATTGTAATTTTGTTCCTCTTCTTTATGTGTGACTGATGTTACAGACAGTTTCTGATAAACTTCGCACTAGTTACAGGAAACGACAGTTAATTAAGCTCCTGTACTGATAATTAGGAAATTAATGGCAGTTTGTTCCAGATTTCAAATCTCTAGATCCTTTTTAGATGTATCTGCTGTAAATTGAGGAAATTCCTAATGATTTTCTTGGTGCGCTGGCTGGATACGAAACGATCTAATTTTCATGATTAATTGCGCAGCAAATATTTAAGTAACATGATTTCTAAAAGCTGGTTTCGGTCAAAGTGTAGTTCGTTAAAGTAGCACAATTGGATCAAAAGGAAAGAAAGGAGTTGTGTTTGTCCTAATTATTCGCAAACTTTAATTGAAAGAGATCAATGTTTTTTTCAAGTCACGTCCAGCAGCTTGCCAAAATTACATTAAACTTACCAGAAAGTCATCTGGGGTGAATTCGATTAGTAAATAAGTAGCGGAGTTTTGGAGAGGGTTAAAGATATGTTTCACCTCAATGGAAGGGCTGTTGAATTATGTAATTTTCTTATTCTGTTTACGTGATTGTTTTTTGATTATACTACAGTTTAAATCCGAACTACTGAGAAATGTTAATGATTTTTTCCTGAATTGTTAAAGTTCAATTCTCAACTGCAGCTAAAAAATTCAACTTTCTGAGTATGAAACAACAAATCGTTCAACTAAACCGATAAAAATAAGTTCAAAACTACCTGAATTGTTTGAGTTAATTCTTTAGTTTAACGGCGCTGAATGGTACATGTGCCTTTCAGCACCAACTAGAACGAATTTCAGGAATTCAGCATTAAACTTTAATGATATTCTCTAGAGATCTCAGCTGGAACTGTCTGCTTTTATAAAGGTTTGATCTAATAACTCAGAAATTCAAGCCGGCACGAGAGTGATGGATACCTGGAAGTTGGAGGTTTATGGTTTCGTTTAAATATACGAACAGATATTATTGTCCCAAAAGTTTATTTGGAAAATTATTGCCAGTCAATACTGCGTAAAACTTGTTAAAAACTAAATTTTATCTGCTGTTAGTTGGAAACACAACTCAGACTTGCTCCCATTCCTTGCCAGTTGAGGAAGTTAATTATTTAGAACATTGTCGATAATTTCCAGATTTTGCAATCTTCAGCAGACAAAAACCTTTTTAGCTTAAATATTATATTTTCCTCTTTTAATGGTAGTTTTGCGGAACATTTTCATTGCACTCATGCAACTGAAATGAACAAAAACAACTATTTGTCTAAATTGCATTACACCAAGCTCGACTTCCTAATGGTGCCCGATAAACCATCAAACTTATGTCCACTGCAGTCCGGCTCGCAGAATGGCCAAATTATACCGAATTAAGCTCCACACCGCAGGTAAGCATGCAGTAACTATTTAAATAGTTGCTGAACTTTTTGCACCGCAATATTTTCAATCTGACAAAGTTTGGACAAACGCGAAATTCAAATGCCTTGGTTAGCAAGAGGAGTTTGGCCACATGAATATTGAATGTTAATGTTTGGGGCATAAATTATGTTATTAAATTTTATTTTTATTTAATTTGTACAATTCATCTGTCAAATGTTAATTTATTTGTGTTTTGTCGCTCAAAAACACATAAAATATCTCGGAAATTTTAATCAAGTAAATATCCCATAAAATTCGCTCTGTTTCCAAGGGAATATTATTTTAATAGCTCAAGCCAATTGTCGGTAATAAAGCGGTCAAAATCCCGAAAGGGTTTAAACATGCAAAAATAGATTTAAATGAAGGATCAATTTATTACTCACTAGCGTGTGGATTTGGCGAAAGTGAAACTTTAACTTATACCGACCGCAAACTAGTTAATTCAGAAAGACCCTAATCACTGAAATATACATTAGAGTCGCTGAAACCCCCATAACTAATGCTAAACACAATTACCGGCGTCAGAAGTTCTTGAAGCTTTCAGAGCGCTGTAATTAGACTTCCAACAAGCTTCCAGCGAATTTTATGAAAATTATGCTTGAGATTTACAAAAAAAATAACAAAAAGAAACGCGCAAGAAGTAACACTGTTAGTGTATTAGAATTTACGAAGATCCTCAAAGAGCAAATTGGGCCATCAAGAATCGTGTACAAATTTACTGCATCTCGACCAGTTTAATTAAAATTAAACCTAATGCATCTACAGCGACGAAAATAGAAAAAAGATTGTATGCGACTGGGGAAATTTGTTAGAACTTTGGGTCGTTATGAATGATTTATACCGCATTCGGACCTTTTAACTAGTTTTTAAAAGTCAACGATAAATCCTTATTATAAAGGGATTTTCCAAATGCAGAAATGAAAAATTGCTTTTAT